CTTAAACTTATCTTTATTGTTTGTGATTCTCTAACTTTAGCGTCGTTCACTATGTGTGAGCTTCTTGATACGACAATAGCTCATAGTCGTCTAAATTAATATGGAAAATGGCAAAAAACAAAATGGAGATGCGGGGTATCGATCCCCGTACCTCTCGCATGCTAAGCGAGCGCTCTACCATCTGAGCTACATCCCCTTTGCTTTCTCATTCTTCTTTGTAGCTTATATATCATGCATTTGTATGAAAGTACATCATAACACACCCTATGTTACAACAAGTATGTCAAAATAAACAAGTCATCACTAGCAGTATATTTTGGTTGAACTTACACTGCTTCCTTATCTTTCATGGTCAGATGATTAATATCACAATCCAAGGGGTTGATCTTGTGGATTTTGATTTCCAAAAGTAGGTCATTAGTCACAGAGGCCTCTATTCTTCTCCCATCTGCATCTTGTGGGAGCTCAAGCTTCCTAACATACCCATGTTCCCACCAATTCCCACTTCTCCAATCTTTTGTGCTCTTGGAATCTCCTCCTTGCTGCTTCCACTGCCCACTAATTTCCACAACCTTCCCATTTTCTTCATAGACCTGAACATTGTTTTTCCCATCTCCTGTTTCACCAAATCAAAAATACTGTTCTGTTTCATTGCACTCTTGAATTTTTAGTTTCTAGTTCAAAACTCTTCATATGTATATATATAAACCATTTTATAAATAAGCCTCTTGGGCTAGTTAGGTGGTGAGGGGACAAGGAAACTGATTTGGACTAAGATGAAGTTATGATTTTTTATCCCATCTGATGCATCAGATATTAGAAAGACCCATTTTGCTAACGGGGTCTAGCTCAGTGGAAAAGGGCCTTGACTTGTAGATAAGAGGTCTTAGGTTCGAATTCTCATTCCCATCTCCTCTAATTTAGACTATTGCTTGTACTTAAAAAAAAACCCATTTAGAGCCCAATATTAAATGTTCAATTACCAAAAGCAACAAAACCCAACATAAATGTTTGATAAAAAGGTCTCCTTTCCTTGTCTCTCAAAACTCAAAAGATTTACTTGTGAATTAAGGAATAATACCACCTATATTTCTTAGGTTTGTATATTGCAACCTGCCAAAATAATATACACAATTCAACTACGCAGTCTCCTTGGTTCATGATGATTTGAATCACTAAGATATATATTAGAAGTATTTGGAAATCTTACCTGGTAGATCTGCTTTTAGTACATAATCTTGATCTGTTTGAAACCAGTCAACAGTACTGCTTTGACCAGAGCTTCTGAGACCAGCCAACAAGATATCTGCATCAAACTCCCACAGTGGGAAGGCATCAGAAGGATCAAAAAATTTCCCAAACAAGAAGGGACTGAACAATGACCCTCCACCAAAAACCTTGTGCACTGCTGGACTGCCTTGAGACATGAACTTCTTGAACACATCTTCTCTCAATAAAACACACCATTTGTGTGGAGTTTGATCATCTGTTAGAACTTCAAGCTGCTTGCGAGTAGTAGTCATTGAATTGAAGATTAGAGAAACTGAACTTTTGAATGTGTGGTGGAGATGTGCTTGAAGCTTGTTGGTTCTTATAGTGTGGGAGAAGCACTTTTGAGAAAAGTAGAGCACAAATTCCCTCAGAATACTTGAAGGGCTGTAAAGCTAATTGGAATATTTCTTTTTCTTGATCCTTGCTCACTGGTGACAAGAAATTACATGTGGCAAAATGGAAGAGGT